ACGATCCCTGGCTTCTGGTCATTTGTGATGTGGAAGCGCTTGTTTTCCATACAGTAATACTGACAAATCAGTGTGAAGGATGTAGCCGGTGTGCTGTCGTACAGGTACTGCTTTGAAGGTTGCTGAACTCACATCCTGTTATTCTACTGTTCCACTCAGTGCAGGACAAATCTTACATTTCTGCTTAGACTCGTTTCAAATCAAAGTGTTTATTTGTCATATGCACAGTTAGGAAACGTGTTTCCCTGTACAATGAAATTCTTACTTTAGCTACAGTCGTGACAGACACTCGTGTTCCACTTGTGACCGTCTCCTGTTGTTAATGAACTTTATCCTACAAAGAGCCATATAGTAACCCCAATCTTTGAATGTGCACTACATTTGCCAATGCTCTGCTGTGCCTGTTGACATGCATGGTGTGCTATAGTGATTTGGTTCCGTTTTGTTATTGCTCCTGCATCAGTGGTGGTTATTTATGAAGTGCTCTGGGAGTTTGATTTATGGCTTGTTTTTTTGCTCTGAATGTGTGTGTGTGTGTGTCAAATCAGTATGTCTTTACGTTTTCTGTGCAAATTGATTCTTAACTTGCTACTGAGTCAGATCTGTGCATCTGTTGATGTGCGAGCTATTTCTGGTCTGAACCCTCTGTGCCATCATGTTGACAAACATTCTGTTGTAAGCACTTTTTTATTTTTTTGTCTCTGCTTTTTCAAATTACATTTTTTTTTCTTTCTAGCCGTCTGTCAAAGTAGATGTCTCTGTTATGGCTTCATATGCAATAGAGCAGCAATACGTGGGTGCTTACTGTCAATGCATTCAGTACAGCTGAGCCCATGTGAAGTTAAAAAGACATTGTGTCTTTGGCTTAATAAGTTCAATTCCTGTAGTTACTCACATGCTGTGTGTGATGTTTTGCTAGACTTTCATCCTGTGGCCATTAATGACGGTTTAACATTTAGTTTATTTTTTTATTTCTTTTGCTTCACTCTGCAAGGAAGAAAAATTATGTCCTGATGAGAAATCACATTTTTAAAAAAGACTACAAATGGCAAAGTATTTCATGGTTTATTAACCAATTTTAATTTCAGGTTTATATGAAGTGATTATTAAATGAGACATTTATTACAATGCTGTCTAAAGAAGGTGGAAGAAGATATGTTTTAATATATTTTTGTGTTAACCTTGTGTTGCATTATGTGACTGTATTCAAGCTAAACGTGACCTGTAGAAGAAGTTAGTTTTACATCGTCACCAGGTCTTGTCTAGTCTGCTGTAGATGGCCTGTGAGTGTAATCTCACTTCATACTGGGATCAAATTTGCCAGAATCCTTTTACATTTAATAGAATAAAGCTGCTGTTATTTTGTATTTATAGAACTGTCAAGCAATGCCAACCCACGAAAGGACCAAAACCAAAAACAAGTTAGCTTCTCAATGCTTTGAATTCCTTTGGGGTGAGGCACACGGGTTCCTTCGGAAGGCGTTAATTTAAAAAAAAAAAAAAAAAAAAAAGAATCACAAATATATAGTTTAATTCTTACAAAGGCTCAGTCATTTCCCCACACAGCCAATGTGGCTCAAACAGGAGTCAATGGTGCATTTGTTTTCAGCAGCAGATTGATACACGTTTTGTACTCTAGTATTTATGACAGCTAGATGGTGTGTGCGGGTGCAGCAGAGTAGTGTGTTCATAGTAATGATGGAACACATCTCCCGATCTGGTCCAGTGTGCGACTCGCTGATGTCTTTTTAATAGTTTTTGTACTATAGAGCTCTTTGGCACAGAGGAATAAGATGAAACCGGTGTTGGCTACACGGGCAGTACTTTCGTGGGATTTACTGGCAATATGAAATATTTTTACTGTTTTTGTCCTAAGTGACATACCTGCATAAATGTGGTACAATCCAGGACGGAGTATATCGCTATTTGATTGCAGGGTTCTGTAATAAAAGGACATGTAAACATTATTTTGGGCTTGACTTATATATATACATGTTTGTTTGTTTTTTAACTTGATTGGTTTAGGAAAAAAAAGAAAAAACAATAAATACTAACTTCATAAACCAGAGCGTTGTACTATGTTCTGCATCCAGCTGTGGATACAGAATCCTTTAGGTCCAAACACATAAAAGGCTCAGTATTACTGCCCTACACATGAAAATGCACTAATTATCAGGTGCTTCACACTGACCAACACACTGCTCTCACTGTATAATTGCCTTTCTTATCTTTGCTAGAAAACAGCCTTTGTGGCAGATATTCATGAACACTAGGAGACTGATGCTACCAGAAATGACTCATTTAGCTCCATGGTGATCTCCCACACAACCTATTCGATTTATTCGCTGCTCTCATCTCATATTCTAATAGATTTCATGGCGCATTCTACCACCCAAAACAATATTTTTAAGGAAACTGAGCAGTCTGAGCCCACATTTTGAGAGTAGTGAAATAAATCCCGCAGAGTGCAAAAACTGCCCTGGTGTATCAGAAATGATCCCTGATGTAATAACCAGTTAACACAAAGCATAGTAAAATGACTGCTCTGTTATTTAAGTGGACGTGGGCGTTTCCTGCCTCACTGACTGTGATGCTGTATCAGGGACCAGAGACATGCGTCAGTAGTATTTTTCCTGGTTAAAAAAAAGTCATCTTGTCACAGCAATAGCTTTACTCCTTGATGACAGAACCAGTAAGTTTGCCCTGAAGTCAATAACTGCACATTTTGGAGACAAGCTAAGTGTAGATTATTCATTTTTCACTTTGCATACAAATTAGGTTTCGTTTCGAAAGCATTTCCCTTTCATAGTGTGTTTTCTACAGAAGTGTGTCTTTTATCAGGTTTATCCAATCCACACTGTACAGATGACCAACTTGGAAGATGTGGCTTATTGCAGTGTTCACTAAATTTAGACTGTTCCCCTGCCAACCACATTTTAAATAAAGCTTTTCAATAAATGTTTTGGAGTTTACATTGTTCTGAATTCAAGTATCTTTTTTTGATGAATCTTCAGTGCTCCAGTGTGTTTCATGGGATCCTCCTGGCTGCATCCCTCCTCCCTCCACAGCAACGCTCTCTGTTGTACATGTTCGAAGTGATGATATAAGCAGTTTATAAATGAATTTGGTGCAGATGTCTTTTCTAGAAGACAATTGATTGGAGGGGTCTCCCTAATGAATTAAAGTGCTAGCTAAGTGTAAGGCTGGAGGAGGATTCTCCCTATCTTGGCAACCCAGTAGTTCTTACAGTTTATAATCAAACTATGAAGCTTAAATAATTCATGATTAACCATTATTATACCACTGTTAACCATTAATAAAGGCACTCACTTCAGCATATAAACCTTTATAAATGGTGCTATATCAAATCATGGTACTGATTAATGTCCATGGTTTTAGAAGTCTCACAAAGATACCAGCTCCGTCTACCTATGACCAAAAGCAGATATTTTCAGTTCTGCAACAAACTATCCATCCCTGTCTGCCCTAGAACACCTGTTGATGGACCTAATGAATGTGATGCCTCAGTGTCTCATCAATGCACAAAGCAGTGTTCTATCAGGAAATGTTTGCCAACTTAAAATAATAGATGCCAGAGTGTGCACAAACCTGGAGTCTTTGAAGCAAGTCCAAAATGACCTGATGAACAATGGGAGAAGGCTCATGCATATACTGCTGGTGCAACACCTGGTACCCTTTGGTTTCCTTCATGATGTTTTCAACGTCTTGCACCAAGTCAGTTCTGTTTGACTGATGTCCCATTAGGAGTGAGCAGATGTCCAAATCTGCAGGCTAACCTAACTGATGTGTGTAACAGTAAAGCAGTTTCCACAGGAGAGAGTTGATATGCCCAGGGGATTTGTCAGTTGCTGACCTGACATGGCTTCAGACAAATATTTATTGAATGGGTCACTGCTGTTCAGAAAGAGTGGAGAGTTATTGCCTTCATTTCAACAGTGTTTATCATGCAATGTCAATTCTCAATTTAAGCAATAACTATAGTAAAGATTAATATATAAAAGATGCATTCTCTGCATTTTACTCGGTCAGGACTGAGGTGAAGTCTGCTGCTGCTGCTGTTCAAACCAAAGCTGACTCAAATCCACATAATAACATGGGAAGCTATAATGACAGTGGATGCTGGAGGTGAATCGTGTCACAGCCCTGCACCCTGAATCCCACTCTACAGTGTAAAACACCACTGGGGACTTTCTCCTGATATTTACATCAAACACTCTTTATGACAGACGTTGTCAACATGTGACTTTCAACTCTTTCAATCAGTAAGTACAGTAACTACAGTAGAGGCGTTGCTTTTAATCATACACTTTTCTCAGAATTTAATTTTTAGTTTCAGCCTCAGACAATATGTAAGCTCTAATCTAAAACTGTCATGGTGTCATGTTTTTGGATTAAAATATCTGGAAACTACAGTTATTTCACTTTTTGTTCCGGAGTATTATTGTGTGGTTGTGTTTAAAGTTCTAAGAGAAATGTATTTTTGACTTCAAATAAAGATAAATCAGCATGATACAGAAATGTTGCTGTTGTAGAAATGTTGTATTTTCCTTTCACTCTAATCAATATTCTTATAAGCTATAATTACATAGGGATCGGGTAAGTGCATTTTTTATCACATATTTCTGATTACAGATATAACATCAAACTTTTGTGTTTTCCAACTGACTGTACTTGAATATAATACAGGTTTTCAGGCATTTTTACAAATAATGTTGATGCAAACAGACTTATGGCACCTGGCAGGTTTGCCCGGCTGCACCTGCCTCTCTCACTTCTCTCCCTCTATTTTAGCTCCCTTACCCCTGATTTCTTTATCTGACACACCTGCTTCACATCCCCTGAATCACCACCTGCTGCACCTGATTAGTTTCCTCCTATTTATACCGTGCTCATCGTCCACTTCCCTGCCA